CAGTGGGTCTGTCCTCGCCCCTCATTGGATAACGCTCTCTGACAGCAAACACAGATTCTTCTTCTCGCTTCCCTCTTTACGCTTTAATATTCCACGTCAGGCACATCCCCACTCGCCAGTCTGTGTCACCCCACAACACGAGGGGGGACAGAGCTCGGACCCCTCGGACCTTTAGGAAGCTTGTTTGATTTCTTTTATCGGTGTAGTTCGACCTTTTTCCTCGTTTCTTCTCAGTTTGCACTAAGAACGGCATGATCACGTGACTGTGTCCTCGTTGGTTCTGATTGGGCGTCATGACTTTGGTTGTTGTTTCTTCTTCGTCGGTCGTTTTCGGTGTATACTGTAACCATTTCTCTCCTCTCTCCACCTTTTCATTATTCTCTGTTATCAATGTTAGTATCACTCAAATAATTTATTGTTAACACAAAAAATGAGACAAAAAAACATGCTACTGATTGTATGTATTTTTAAACAAAGCCTATTTTTTCTGTAAAAAAAAACCAACAAAAACAAGAAACTGTGTTCAGCACTTTTATTCTGGGTTGTGCTTTTTTGTTTTCTATATATTTATAATTTAGATCCAAATGTATATATTGTAAAATTTGTGCCTTTCGACTAATTCTTAAAAAAAAAAAAAAAAAAGGTTTTCTACTCATTTAAGGAAGGACTATATGAAACATGCAATCTTAACTTTGTAAACAAATAAAAACTTCAAGGTTGCTGAAATGGACTCTTTTGTTCATCCTGCAGCGTCATCGACCATTGATGTACAGAAACGTCACGATGAAGAGATGAAATGTTTCGGCTCGAGTCACACAAAGTTCACCCACAACATATATAAATACTGACTGTTTACTGCATCATATTAAACACAGGGACCAATCACAAGAGAGTGGGCGGGACATAACGTTGGGAAGGTATTAACTCATCCATTCATACACATTCACACACTGATGGTAGGGGCTGCTGTGTAAAGAGTCCATCAGTATTAACTCATCCATTCATACACATTCACACACTGATGGTAGAGGCTGCTGAGTAAAGAGTCCATCAGTATTAACTCATCCATTCATACACTGATGGTAGAGGCTGCTGAGTAAAGAGTCCATCAGTATTAACTCATCCATTCATACACATTCACACACTGATGGTAGAGGCTGCTGTGTAAAGAGTCCATCAGTATTAACTCATCCATTCATACACATTCACACACTGATGGTAGAGGCTGCTGTGTAAAGAGTCCATCAGTATTAACTCATCAATTCATACACATTCACACACTGATGGTAGAGGCTGCTGTGTAAAGAGTCCATCAGTATTAACTCATCCATTCATACACATTCACACACTGATGGTAGAGGCTGCTGTGTAAAGAGTCCATCAGTATTAACTCATCCATTCATACACATTCACACACTGATGGTAGAGGCTGCTGAGTAAAGAGTCCATCAGTATTAACTCATCCATTCATACACATTGGGGCAGCAGTAGCTCAGTCTGTAGGGACTTGGGGTTAAGTGTCTTACCCGAGGACACACTGACGTGTGGCAGCAGCAGCTGGAGATCCATCTGGTTGAGAGACGACAACTCTACCGCTGAGCTACACATGATGATGGATGGATACTTTATTAACCCTTTGCAGGAAATGATGCCGTCACAGCAGTCGCAGTCAAAACACCAGAAAAACTGAAATGTAGGCACAAAAAAATTGTAGAATGAATAAATGAAACCGTTTTAAAAACATCAACACATGAAACATGATCCAGTCTGAATCTAAAGATTGAAGATGATGTAACAGAGACATTTTGGGGGCTGAGTTTAGATGGATGAGGATTAACTAGAAAACTCTACATGTATTTTCTTACATATTTATATAGATTCATATTTATTTACTTTATTTATGGAACATTTTTCAAAAGCTTTACAAAGACAGCAACAATAAACCAGACATGGACTTTATATTCACAGTGCAGGACGTCTTAATGTCCTTTAACATATTTATTATATTTATATTGATAATATTTACATATTATCTCTCGTTCCCTGATTTTTGACAAGATCCACTTCCTGTCTCTAAATAGATTCATAAAAATCCAGAAAAGTAAAATTAAAATGCAACTGAAATCAGGAAGCTATCACTGGTCACTAACTCAGATCAGCTGACCTCCTCCACATGTCTTTGAGAAGTGTTCTGCCTTATTTTGTAGAAAAGCTGCACATCTCTCCAGAGGTCAAAGTTCAAAGGTTGCCCAGCTCTACTTATATTTACATTCACCTGGCAGCCAACAATCACAGAAGCTACAGTCTAAGACAAGAAACTGGAAAATCAAGTTTATTGGTTTCACATCAGTCTCAAGAATTCTAAAAAACGCGCTGCCACTGAGATTTCAAAGTAAAACAAACATTTAAAATAAATAATAAAGTCTAATTCAGACTGTGACGTAATTAAACTCACGTCACTTGACGTATTTCGTTTAATTCAAATAAATGTAATAGAAAATAAAGGATGTGCCTCAGCCAACACTAGGGGGCGGCTTTTCTTCATTTTCTATCAGCACTAACTTCCTGTCCTGCCACTTACGCTCCCTCGCGTGATGACGTCGTGATACTCACCTGTACGTCGACGCCCCTCAAGCCTCTTCACCTGTTTTCAGGAAGATTTGAGAGAAAGTTTCAAACCTCTGGAAGAGTCGGCACAAACCAGAGAAGCTTTGAAGAAGACCCATCGTGTGAATCTTTAAACTCTGGGAGAATCTTCAGGGACATTTATAACTTCCGCCCACAGAGAGGACGTTCACAGGTAAGCTTTATTTTTACTGTCAGAATCTGTCGTGTGGAGCTCAGGTGAGGCTCTCCGTCCACAGTGTCGGTAATAACAGAGGGGAAGTCAGGTTCATCATTTAGTTTTAATATGGGCGTCTACTCATAAAGAAACAGAGTTAGCTTTAGCCGTTAGCTTGCCACCAGATTTCCAAAGTAAAAGCCTGAAATTATTTTAATTAGGCTGTGGATAATTAATTATGGGCCTAATGTCGGCAGGTGGTGTGTGTGTGTGTGTGTGTGTGTGTGTGTGTGTGTGTGTGTGTGTGTGTGTGTGTGTGTGTGTGTGTGTGTGTGTGTGTGTGTGTGTGTGTGTGTGTGTGTGTGTGTGTGTGTGTGTGTGTGTGTGTGTGTGTGTGTGTGTGTGTGTGTGTGTGTGTGTGTGTGTGTGTGTGTGTGTGTGTGTGTGTGTGTGTGTGTGTGTGTGTGCGCATCGTCACCTTACTGGTTCTGCCACACATGCAGGTTTCTACCTGCCTGCCAGAAAGTGTCACAATAGTTTCGACTGCATTCCCGAACAGCTGCGTCTTCACTCACCTCTAATCAACACATATCTACCTGATACAGGAGGTTCATCCTGTACCATTGGACTTTACTTTCTGTTTGAATTCAACATCCTGCAGTTCCTGGAGTGTCCACTAGAGGCGTGTAGCTGACCTGATTGACAGGTGGGTGTGGTGTAACAGTTTGTCAGGAGGTTTAAAACCCGCCTCAGCTCCAGCTCTCAGCCTGTCGTTAGCTTGACTGAAAGTTAGACTGAGACAGCATTTCCAGCATGGAGACCACCATCGATGGGACTCCAGCGCCCCCTGCAGGAACAGATGTGACTGTGGTTTTGATCCACAAAGGGCTTCAGCATGTGTCTTCATTGATTGTGCATTGTGAATGACTCTGAATGGTTTTGTTTGGTTTGTTTGTGTTTTATGAGGACGTGTGAGAGTCCAGGAAGTTGTGAAGTGGCTTTTTTTCCCTGTGCTCAAACACTGTTGACTGTACATGTCAGTGGTTGTAATTCTACTGCGCCGTGAGGCTACAGAGCCCTGACCTGTGTCGGTACATCCACTGTGTAAACCTCTGAAGTGTTTGTCTTTCAAACCACTCCTTCATCAGGGACGTGCCAGTTAACCACTAACCACGGTGTGTTGCGGTCCACTCTGAGCTCACTGCGGTTACTCTTGGAGTAGTTCATTTACAATGTGAAGAATTTCCGGTATGCGTCCCTGTAAAAGTAGACCGCTGTTTGTTTTCATAGTGCCGCTCTGACTCTTGCTCTCCACTCACCTGCTCTGCAGTCGCTCATTTGCATGAGAAACATGAGAGCCTCAGAGGTCACCTGGTGCTGAACTTAGTTATGACACACCAACGAGGCACTGCTCACCTGGAAGGACACACCTGTGTTTGTGTTGGTAACAGTATAGTAGGGCTGGGTGATATGGACCAAAACTCTTATCTTGATATTGATTAGCTGAATGGCAATACTCGATATATATGGATATGTATTTTATTAACAGTGAAAACAAATGGAAAATAAACTACCTGTTTGTGAATTTAAAAAGTAATATAATAAAATGAAAATGTTCCTTAAATACAACTAAAGAGAGAGAGAGGAGGAAAAAGGTGACCTGGCACCTCTATAATGTTATTTTAATGCAACATAAACTATATCAATGTTAACCATATTGTCTTACCTTATATCTTGTTTTGAAAATATATCGATATTAAAAACTTGATATATTGCCCAGCCCTACAGTATAGTGGTTCACTTGACGTCCTCTGCTCTCTTCAGACTCTTTAATAATTCATCTTCTCTGGCTGACCAGAAGCCGACTGTTACACCTGGCTGAGCCCGAGCCTGTCGCTCGTATAGTGGTGTGTGTCACCTGGTTTATCACCTGCTTCAGTTCTACTCCTGCCTCAAGACAAGTCCCAGTGACCTGCAGTCAAACCTAAACAAATAAGATGCTAACCATGAAGAGGAGACACAATGGGAGCCCTGTGTGCAGACACATTCCCAGTACATGCTCCTGAAGCACTGCAGCACCCGGTGAGGAACCCAGGAAACTTCCAGCGGAGCAAACAGCCTGTCAATTATTAACGGCCCGACGCTCTCATTCCTTTGAGGTTACCATAGCAGCCAGCCGACTGAAACCCAGCCAGCACAGCCGTGTGGGAACAGGACGCACACAGACCAGTGACAGTGGGAGAAGTGGACTGGTTTGCCTTCATGAACCTGTGGGATGAAGGAGTAACGGAGAGATTCTTTTCTAGAGTTTAATAAGTTCTTAATGCATCAGTAATGCAGACGCCGAGGTCACGTGACACCCTGCTCTGAACCATCGGAGCGCTCGCTCTGTGTCTGTGAATCAGTGGTGGGAAAAAGTGAAGTGAGTTTTTTAAAGACGAGACGACCGGCGTGTTTTCATCATGAATCTGACGCAGCGGATGAAACTTCTGAAGCACTTTGGCTCTGTGCCCCCGGAGCCTCCTCCCCCGCTGTTGCTGGTGCCTGTAAGTCTTTCTGCTCGCCGCTACCCTCTGGTCACAGCGACCTTTAGGCCCTTCAGGTTCAGTATTAATTAAGTATGATAAGAGAGATTTATCATTGAATGAAATCAAAGAAGGTTTAAAACATTTATGTCATATTTAAATACTTTATTCTATTCTCCATGCTGTAAAACATCTAAGCTCCCAGTAGCTGCACGTTTGGAGAAATAAAGGCTGCTCTATTTCCTTCAGTCGATGAAATGACCCGGCCTTCATTCAGGACAAGAGTCAACACGAGACAAGCCTTTTATTATTTTAAACTCACCTCTCGTTCACAGCAGAGACGAGAACGACTCTGTAACAGTATTTATTTCAACGTGTGCAAAAGATGAAATAATGCCATTTTTGATCTTTCTGTGTAAAGCAGCGTGCAGACCTCCAAGCATCATTCTGTCTCTCCTGGACAGATGTTGATGTTCATCTTTGTTTCTTGTGGCGTGGTGCTTTTTCTCCTCGTGTTTGATGCACAGAATATTTCAAAATAAAATGCACAGGAGCTTCTGAATGAGAGCTGCCTTCAGATGTGCAGCAACACCTGGCAGCTGTGCCTTCAGAAGGGAGGGGCTTGTTTTGTAGTTTTTCTTTTAAAGGTTTATTTTTGGGCCAGTGGACAGACAGAGAGAGAGAGAGAGAGAGGTCATACAGGAATGGACGTCACAGGTCGGATTTGAACCACTAGGCTGTCGGCTCCTCCATGTTTGTAGTTTTACGTTAAACACTATAATTGTGATTATTTCAGTTTTGGCTTTCAGAGCTGCAGGTACTCTTCATATCTGGACTTTGTAAGATTGCTTCAAAGGCTCATGAAGTGATCTCTAAATGCATGCTTTGTACATCCTGAACAGACTGATGTGGATCACCTCAGCCTGGATGTAGACCTCCTTTCCCCCCTGTTACATGTCAGACCTGAAGCTGCTCTGCTACAGGCTCCACCTTCAATCCAGTTTATTGAAGGGCACTAGAGAGTGGGCAAAGGCTGAGTGGGGGAGGAGTCCTTCAGGTGAGGTCTCTCTGGGTGTTTTCTTTCTTCTCCCCCTGCCGAGAGGGAAACTCCGCGGCCTCTCAGATTACAAGTCATCCGAGCTGGAGGTTAATGTTTGTGCCGCACGACGACGACAATCATCGCTGTGGATTAGTGATTCTTTTATTTTTTTTAGCTTTTGTTTTTGCCGTCTGGACGTCTGAGCTCAGGTTGTTCTCGGAGCACAGGAGGCCGCAGGTGCTTTTGTTCTGCTCCCAGGTCCCGGTGGGAAAATGGAAGTAAGGTTCAAAGAGCCGGTGGTAAGTGGAGCGAGAGGAATGGAGAGCAGTGATAGGCTGAGAGAATCTGACTTAAAGATATAAAGACAATAATAAATCCTTTAAGGCAACATGAAGGAAAGTAAGCACAGGTAGAAGAGTGAACAGATCAGATGACAGATCATCAGCTGTCTCCACCTTCCTCAATTTAAACGTGATAAACATTCAGGTTTCAGCTGATCCGCTCGCTGCGTTGAAAAACGATGAAACGTTCAGGAGATTCTCCATAGACTGAAAACAAGTCTGAAAGGATTCTGTTTAACTTCTGTGGATACTCAAAGAAGGTGAACAGGAGCTTTTTATTGGTGTCATTTCCTCGTTATCATCGTGACCGAAATCCAGGGTTAATATTTGACGGCGTGTAAACGTGGAGGTCTGATTAGTTTCATGACTCTGACCAACGTTTCTCTCTTTCTGTTTTCCTTTTATTCTGAAAAAAACTGAAGTTTAAGACATACTAAACAGAGAGAGGGGGCGGGCTGTGGCTCAGTGGTAGGGTCCGTCAGGGGTTCGATCATCAGCTCCTGCAGCAACATGTCTGATATGTTAATTAGGCCCGACTGATATGGGACTTTTGGGGCTGACACCAACATGGATGTTGGAGAGTAAAACAATCTGATTTATCAGCAGATATCTTTGTTTCTTGTTTCCGTGCTCGTGATGCTCTGTGCACGTCAGGTTTTTAATAAACTTCCACCATCAGTTCAGGCTCTCTGCCCCTCCAGGAACTCAATGTCAGCCTTGATTCAAAGATACGCTCAGCATGCAGTGATAACATCTGCAGCAGCTCTGTCAGGTCGGTTTCTGTGTTTTTTACCAGCTTCAGGTTGATGATTAAGCCAAGTACACAGCCCACTGTTCACAGGTCACACACTGTACCCCCCTGATCACAGCCATGTTGAGTCCACCTGCAGGGTGAAGGTGATGACTCTGTGATGAGTGTGGGTGGATTATTGTGTTGGTGTGACAGCACGGCGGACTCCCGGCTGCTGTTTGAGCTCCATGAGTTCCCCTTGTAAAAGGTTTCTGTACTTCACATTCACAACAGAGACGTGTCACTTCCTTGTTCTCATGTGACCCGCATGTACGGAGCCGCTGAAGTCCCAGAAAGTAAAAAACAAATATGTTGAGCAGACGAGTTGAGAGAAACTCCTTAAAGGGGCGGGAGGCAAGCTGGATTCAAACGCTCCAAATGATGATTTATTCAAATGAAGTTTGCTCTCTGATTGTCAGGTTCCTGTTTTATAATCTAGTCACAGGTTCTTTTTGTGTCTGTTCATATGTCGGCCTCTGTGATTCCACACGTTTGTCATGTTTCTGATTTAGTGTTTGGGTCATAATTCACCTTTTGGGACCTTTAGTGTACTACCTGAACTACGGCCTGAGATGATACCGAGGTCTGTGTGGTCTCAGCATTCTGACAACGTTTTCTCTTTTTGTTTTTATTTGATTGTGGAAAAGGTGAAACCAAACAAGGAGAGAGGGAGGACAGTAATTAGGGGCAGGCTGTGGCCCAGTGGTAGAGTCGGTCGGGGGTTCGATCCCCAGCTCCTGCAGACACATGTCTGATGTGTCCTTTGGCAAGAACCCCGAGTTGCTCCTGTTTCATCGATGGCGGTGTGTGAATGAATTAGGGCTCGACTGATACAAGCTTTCTGGAGCCGATAATAGGGAGAGAAAAAATGTGATATCGATATCTCGGCAGATATGTGTCTTTGATCCTCAGAGATAGATATGATATGATCCCTCAGTTATCCAACACTTGTGGAAAAGATTTATAAAGAAGACAAGATGGCCGCTCTGCTGGAGAGTAACTGAGCATGTACGTGCATCACCGTTCCACACTCTGTAGAGCGATGATGTTTGTTGTAATCCATATAGCGCCCTCTGCTGGTGACACAGAACTGCTAGTGTCATACAATGAAACTCAAATTAGATGTTTGACTTGTGAATAAATGCAGTAATATCTGGGCATATCTGCTTTAAAATGAGCTGATACAGATATTTACGGGATACGCTGATATCGGCTGATATATCGGCTGGCTGATTTCTTGGTTGGGCTCTAACCCTGAACTACAAATGTCTGAAATCACCTCTTCAGGCTTTGGGCTTGTTGTTTTGGTGATGTTAATTTGTTTTGTTGATTCAGAGTCGACGTAATGTTGACTGTTATCACTTCCTGTTTGAGGTGCCCCGCCCGTTTTAACAACTTGTTTGCCTGATGAAGATCTCGTACTGAACAAATGTGTGTTTTTGAGTTTAGACGGTGTGCAGGAGTTTACCTGTGAGACTCTTTGAAACACACAACGTGAAGAGCGTCTGCTTTGTTTGTTGAAAAATGTAAAATATGAGAGGCGGCTAATCCACCTCTGGGGTTTGTTGCATTACATGTTTGGTTTTTAGATATTTGCTTCAGATGGAGACAAAGGGTTAAAGAGGAATTTTAACTTGACAGTTATGGCCCTTTGTCACCTGCTGATGTAACACCAAGGTGTGAAATGAAAGTTGAAATGACATCAAGAGGACGGAGAGTCGGTATCCTCTCTCACCGACATGACTCAAACATCCTCACAGAATCTCCCCGATGCTTTTCAAAATGTTGACACCTTTTCAAACAGAGCAAACAAACAAGAACCCGTCAGAGTGTCTACAGAAGATCTACAGTTTCAGCCGCCTGCAGGGCCGGGAGGCGGTGTGTTTACAGAGAGGCACACCTTGTAGAGCACGGTCAATGTGTTGGGGTCACTTTAAGAGGAAGTGTTTATCTTGTGGCCCTGCAATGATTGGTTCATTTTATGATGATCTGGGATGTTTTGATCCAGTCTTTTATTAAATCAGGCTGAGCTGAGTTCATCAGGTAACAGTGTGATTGATAAATAATGAAATAGTATCCTCACTCGTCTGTTTACAACATCTTTCTCTGTGAACACTCACTGAACCAAACGCGTTGTCAACACCCCAGGGACTAAAGAACGTAGCCCTTCCTCCAGACCGGTCAGGCAGGATTTAGGCAGGTGAGAGCACGCCGAGATCAGGCTGAGTCGTGCACACACACACTCTCTCCTCTTGGCTGAGGCGCTCAACTGTCCTCGCTGTAATCACCCGAGTTTATTTACAATAAGGACTTATCGTTTAAAGAGTCTCATTATCCTTTTATATTACATCTCAACCTTTTATTTTTTCCTTGCAGAGAGCAGGCATGGAGGAGCTGACGATATGGGAGCAACATACGATCACACTCAGCAAAGTGAGTAGCAGATACTCAGTGTTTTTTTGTGTGTGTGTGTGTGTGTTTGTGCTCTTGGGCTTGCATTGATACTCACAGGAAACTTTACAGCTCAGTACCTTCAGGGTGTAATGACGTTAAGGTGGAGTCCTTGATGTGTCTCAGAGGTTTGTGGATGGTAAAGGTCTTGTGGTGGTGGGGGGGGGGGGGGGTTCACCAGGTTTCACAGGTATCAGTTTCACAGCTCAGACTGCAGCAGGAATTCACAAGCGACAGACACACCCTGCTGCACCCCGCAGCACCGTCTGCCTCTCCACTATCCCGCGTCACGCTGGACCCAGCTGGAATGTGCTCTCTCTCTCTCTCCCCTCTACCTCCCATACTCTCTCTCTACCCACCTCCCCCCGCCTGCTCTTTCATTCATGTTACTCCCTGTCATAATCAGAATCAGAATTGGGATTTATTGCACAGTTTATTTACACATAAAAGGAATTTGACTTGGTGTATTGGTGCTTAACAATTAAGGAAATAGAGCAGAACTAGCAACAACTTAAATAATACAGTATAAGAAGATATTACAATATATAAAATAGAATTTAAAAATGTAAAATATAAAAAACACAAAATGTACAAAAGGTGTAATGTAGGAGCTATGAGAAAAAAAATCTTAGTGTCTGGCATCTCTTCTAAAAAAGTATTTCTTCCTCATAATGGCAGGACTCAAAAGTGGGGTTCGGCTTTGCCATATCGGGGGGGAAAGACAAGCCTCACCCGGACAACGGCGATACAACGGTGGTGGTGTCGGATGTGCTTCCAAACGGACCGGCCATCGGACGCCTGTTGTGAGTCGATTAACATCCTCTGATGAGTCTTCAGACACCATGAGCACACAGTGATCTGTTCATGAACTTTCTCTAAACCTTTGCTCTTACAGCCACAAAGACCAGATCGTGATGGTGAACGGCGTGTCGATGGAGAGCGTCCACTCTAACTTCACCATTCAGACCCTGAAGTCATGTGGCAAGACGGCAAACATCGTGAGTATGGAGGAAGCACTAACCGAAGATGATCTTTGATGCATGTCTTCTGTTTCTAAATCTCTCACCTTCACCTCCTGACTTTCTCCAGACGGTGAAACGCCCCCGCAAGATCCAGATCCCAGCAACCTCCAGACCATCTAGAGCCGCCTCCCATTCCAACCTGCTGGACCAGGACCCCCCTAGACGAACGCGACGCTACTCTGATGGCAGCGACAACAGAGAAGTCGGCCGCTACCGCGCCGGCAGCGCCTCCCCAAACCGTAACGGTTATGGAACCCTACCGCTGATGTCATCGGGGTACAAGAGGCTGCCGTACCAGGACGTTCCCGACAAACCAATCAGAACAACGCTCCTGAAAAAGAAAATCACAGACGGTAAGACTTCAGGGAGTAAAGAAAGGAAACCTAACCTTTAAATGAGCAACTCCCTCTAGTGTTTAAAATGGGTACTGCAGTCTTACATTCTAAACATTGTAGAGAGCTGTCCCCTCCCCCCCCCCCCCCCTGTAGAGTGGATGCTCACACAGGTCACCATGTGGTGGACTCTGAAGCTTCAGTGTTTATCCAGCTCTGCATGGGTCTGTAAACCTTTCTGTGTTCTAACCTCTCTCCATTTTTCAAAAGCATCTCCAATATTGATCCTAGTTTGAGCACGTTTCTGCTCGTGGAGCTTATTAGAAACCTGCAGAGGCTTTTTAGGTCGGGTACAATCACTTCTATCTGAACCACTTCTCTTGGTTTGACCTGATAACTGCTCTCATATCTGACAAACCGAGGGGCGTCCAAAACGGCCGTGTGGGGGTCGCCTTAAAACTGCCTGCCTTCTCTGGTCCAAACAAATCCAGAGCATTCAGG